CTTTTATAGAAATAAAATCTGAAAAGTGTGCAGCACATGTGCATTGGGGCCCATTAGTGAAAACACTGCAGAACCAACTTTCATTAAAATTAAGGTTATATTTCTTTAAAGTTGTGTCTCGAGCAACTTTTTCTTTTTGTAGGAAAGTATCTTAACCGGAGTCCCATTAGATGGTTTGTATCTCTGAGCTTTAATTCGTAGGTTTTGCAACAGATTCTATTAGTTTTATGTCTAAACTTTGACTAGGCCATTCAAAAACATTTATATACTTTGATCTAAAGCATTCTATTCTGGATACTGCTCTGCCTGAAGGTGAACCTCTGCTCCTATCTTAAGTTGCAATGTTTAAGTTCAAATGTAGGAACACTTTTTTCAAGGTTTCTATAATACTTCTGTTAAGGAAAGTCCACATTTGAGGAGTGTATAATCAGATCCTAGGAATTAGAGGTCTTTGGTTCACTGGGTCAGTGCTGGAAGGTTATGCAAGCAGTGCAGCAGAGTTGGCCTCACTGAACCTAAGAGGCACCCTTCTGGGATTTGGCAAGCTGAGAAGGCAGCAGTGGGGCAGAGGGATAAACACTGCAGAGGTGCACACACAGAACGCCACAAACAATCTGTACAGAGGAAACTGCACCAGCAACAACAGCAGAAATGCTCCTTTAAAACACTCTGATCTTTAAACCTTTCTCTGAGGTTTTTATTTGCTCTCCAGATTATTGTAAAATGATCAGAATTGTCACAGCATCCTTTCTTGGTCATGTTTAAATCGCTCCCTTAAGTTAAATAAACTCCTTCCACTCAGTGCTGCCCCTGCCCAGCCGTCAACAGCGCTGCACCTTCGCTTTAACCCCAGGCCAAAAGGGCCAGAGGCAGACTGTCTGGCTACTACCCAAATGGCTTTCTCAATGGATATAAACAGGCAGGCTACTGGCGCAGACCACACATAAACACCATCCAAAGCCCACAGGGGGAGGGACTAATTCCAGTTGTGGTGTATGTGTGTATTTACAGGAGAAATAAATGAAAAATTACATAAATACAGAATAGAACCCTTATTAGTGTAGGAGGGAAAGCGTGCATGTTTATCTCCTTGTACAAGAATTATTACTCTTTGGGGTTATTCACATGTTACCTTTTGAATGATCAGGAATAAAAAAAAGGACTTTGTCATATAATATTGAAACCTTCACCAGTAACATCATGGGATTGGATAAAGACCTTGAAAGAGACATTTAAGAGCACAGATCAGACAAAAAAAAGTGAGGAAAAAAAGTTAGCTGCTTACTTTTATCACTAACTAATCCTTCACATTCTGACTGCTTTTATGTTGCCGTCAGCCAGAGTGATGGATGGAAGCTTTTCGGGTGGATGTGTAATGTTTGCCAGATAAGATAAGCAAACAGCGCAGTGAGGGGGTGTGGTTGTGTGTGTGTATGGGGGGTTCTTCAGTGTTTACACACTGCTGTGAACGTTTGACCTGAGACAAATCCCAGAATTCAACATTGATGGGTTTTTCAGGGTAGAAATGTCCCTGCCTTGTTGGATTGCAGCTCATTACCAAAAAAAATGGACGAATCAAATGGAAGAGATTTAAAAAGATGAAGATGGATTTTAACAGAAGTTCCGGTCAGATATCTTGAATCATTCAGGGGATTTGGAGGGTTTTCTGTAAACATCATAGATGTGCATCCCTTCGAAAAGATCACCAGAGATATACTTATATGCTGAATCCATGTGGGTACACAAAGGAGAACAACATTTGCAGCTGCAACCCTGCTAGAACACACATAATTCGCAGGCTGAACCTCAGAGGCTCCGCTGACATTCTCCCATGTCCTCCATCTTGGTAAGGGGCCTCTGTATATTGGGTCACTAGAGGCCAAAGGAAAAAGAGGGCAGGACATTTGTGGAAAACTGAAAGCTCAACAAAACCCTAAAACACACAACTGACTTCTAGAAAAAAAAATAAAAAATACAAGGCAGAGAGCTAGCAATAAAAAATGGTCAGCTAGATGCAAATCTGAATTGTTTAGACTAGAAGCGAGCTTGTAAAACAGAAAAAAGTGATTTTGATGACCCATATTTCCACACACAGCCTCTGTTCTTCAAACGGTTCAAGTTCTCAGCACCAAAAGATTTAGGTCAGATTTAGCAACCGGCAATTATACGTTCTTAAATGAGACCTCTGAGGTTAAATGACGCCCAGTAATGGGGCATTCTCCTTATAACAGCTCCATGTGCGCAACACATTTCAGTAATTTAAGCTGAAATGCCTTCACCTACACAAAAGGCGAACTTAGAGAGTTTAATCAATTTAATCTGAAAAAAAGAAAATCCTGGATAATGCAAACACTGGCAACAAAAGGATTATGCATTTTCTCAAGATTTGGAGATCATTTAATCAACTAAGACATCAAAAAACATTTTTTTGATTAAATGTGCCATCTTTTTTAGGTGATATAAAGTCTTAGTGAATCTTCTAAAGATACCCATAACACAGTTTTCTCAGGGATTTATGAAAGTTTGAATGTGAAACTATGGTAAACACTGAGAAACTATACGGTAAACAATAAAAACTTAAATATACATATTCATAATGACAAAAATGACCTGAGTCCAGAAATAGTTTTACCTCTTTGTTGAAATTACTTCTTAGGGATGCTTCCTGTATCCAACCCCCAGTGTCTGACAGAGTTCAGATCAAACATGACAAACATGGAAATTCTCACTCCTTTCAGCTGTGAGATATTCAGTTATTTCTTATATCTATTTCTTATATTTCTATAACTCTCTGCCACCCATTGATAGTTGTACAGGGATGATTCTGGGTTTTAGAGGGTTGTTTAATCATTTTGCAGACTATTTTTTCATGTAAATTCTATTAAAAGTACCAGATAAGATAAGATAAGCTGCTGCAACCTTCTTTCTGAAAGCCTCAGAGAGCTTTTTGGATCTCATGGTGTTCACTGATACACTAGCAAACATTTATTTATTTATTTTAAAGCCGATGTTGATGCAGATTACTCTGACATCAGTCTAACCAATCCTTGATATATGCTACTGATTTTTTGGGGCTGATTCTTAAGGTAGATCTTTTCTCTTCATCAACGTGAAAAAAGTGACACAACAATAACGACTATTAAAAGTTGAGATTTAAAGAGCACATTACCAAGTCAAAAACACTTTATTAATGAATAACAAATGGCGGGAGCAGCAATGCATGAGCCTTACTTGATCTAAAGGTATGGCTGCTGAATGTACTTAGAAGTGGTGAATGCCTGCATGCATCTTCTGAGATAGATATCAGGGGGGAAAAAATGCTAATATCATTGGGCCGATGTATCGCCAAGGAAAAATCATCAGTGACGATGTTCTAATTGCACACATATGATGTAATGGGCCTTTGTGTGAATCTCGTTTTTCTGAATTTATGAAATACTTAAATTTTCAAATATGTTTTTTTTTTTTTTTTTTTTACTTACTATAAATGGAACAAGCTCTTAGGGCTTCTTTAAAATGTATTGAACACTATAAAGGTTTTAAGAACATTTAAGAGCATTCCCAGGATTAAAGGATTAAAGTCCAAGTCGGATCTAGGATCATGCATTTACCTTTAGTTCTACTGATTACTGCAACAGCTGCAGCTGATCCAAAATGCTGCTGCCTGTGTTCTCACTAGAACTAAGAAAGTAGAGCACATCAGCCAAATTCTGAAGTCCTTACAATGGCTCCCTGTAGCTCTGAGAAATCCTTCTATTAGTCTATAAATCATGGAAGGGATCAGCACCTCAATACATTAGATATCTGTTGTCAGTGTATCTACCTCCGAGACCGCTCAGGTCTTCTAGCTTAAGCCTACTCTGTTCACCCAGAACTAGAACCAAAAATGGAGAAGCAGGATTTAGTTCCTATGCTCCACTGATCTGGAACAAACTCCCAGAAGACTGTAACAGTGCTGAAAGTCTGAGTTCTTAAAGTTAAAAACCCATAAGATTAGAGCTGCCTTTGACTGTAAAAGTTAACTGAGGTATCAGTTTGTGATCAAAGTGTTTTACATGCTTTAATACCTGCTTTAATACCTGCTTTTATCATGTTTTGATCTTTATTTGCTTTATTCTGCCTTTTCTTTTTCCATTTTATTCTTTAATTCACCTTAAGCACTTTAGATTGCCCTCGTACTGAATTGAGCAAAACATTACATAAAATACATTTGGTTTTTGCAAAATCCTGGGAACAGCCTGATCCTCTCCAGCTGCAACACACCTTCAATCACTAAAGAAAATAAGGGCTGGGTTTCACTTAGCATGATCTTCTAATGGAGGCTGGGCTACTTTTGCTGACATGATACCAGTGAACGATGCCCTCTGGTGTCAACGTGTTCTTCTTGTTAAAACAATCAAGCACATCAGCTTCTTTGCAGCATGAGAGCGTGCAGCTCACAAACGGGGAGAAAACTAATTCAGCTGCTAATAGCTACGCCGTGGCTCTCACAGTTCATTTGACATTGAAGGTGTGCCATAGTGTCAGTGAACCTGTGTAGTGTTTGCAGAGCGGGCGGTGTGTGAATACCCCATGTACCAACAGCTGCTGTAGTAGAGGGTGATAGGCAGGGTGTTAAGGAGACAGACAGTTGCTGAAAAGTAGGAGGGGGAAGATGTGTAAGCCGATGAAATGCAGGATAATCTCAGCCTTAGGCAACAGCATGGATAGTATCACTGACTGTATGGATCTGTGTGTGTGCACGTTTAGGCTAAGGCGATCAAAACTAGACTTCAGTCTTATTATTGCGTTTGATTCACTAACACACCCATCCCTTCGTTCAAACAGCCAACAAAGTGTTGTCAACCCTCAGACATAATGTGTGCCTCCTGCCAACAGAGGCCTGCAACTTGGAACTGTGTGAAATATCAGAACAAGCTGTATCTGCAGCTTTCTTGTTCAGCAGCATTCTTGGTCGTGGGTGTGCATGTCTCCATCTGCTCTGCTGTGCTGCGACCTACCTCTGAGGCAGAGGAAGGTGAGGAAGTCCTCCGTCTTGGGTTTGCGCCGAGACAGGTCCTGGATGGAGGAGGACAGCGAAGAGGAGAGTGACGACAGGGACGTTGACGGAGCAGCGGACAGGCTGCCGTTCAGGCTGCCTGTGTCGGCCACTTTGACCGGTGTAGTGCTGGGCGAGTTGGGCTGCGACTGGGCGAACTTCCGCTGAGCCTGGAGACGAGGCCTGAGGGGGCAGAAAACATGCAGATGAAGGAAAATACAAGCTTTAGTGCCGTCTCTCTGAATTCATATCATGACAAAGATATTTTTAATGGAGCCAAACAGAGCTTAGCAAAAGAAGAAAGCAATAGCTATTGTTCAGTTAGAAGCAGGGATAGAGCTAGATGAGGGGTCGGCAGGGGTTGCTATGGCCACCCTCAGCCAATCATTGGCCACCCCAACTAGTTGATTCTATTTGGTCAAAATAAACAAGCTGTTTCCCTTCTAAACAGACATCGGCAGCAGTAACACTTTCAACTGAAACATTAAGACCTAGACAAAAGATGGGATAGTCATGGTTGCAAAACACAAAGCTGTTATTTGTAGGGCAGTTAGTGCAGAGGTAAAATAAATCTCACACAGTTAAGGCGGAAACAAGCAATCAAAAGAGTTCTTACAGAAATTATTACTTTTTTGATCCAACAAGTTTGCATAACTATAGTTTTTAATCGAGACTAATGGACCATTGAAGGAATAAAGAGGTCTTATTGAGGAGGTAGAATATGGCCACCCCTGAAAATGCAGCTGGTTAACCGAGGCATCACTAACTTTCCCTACCTATTTAATCTGTGTTCAGACCCCACAGAACCGAATTCTCTCTATGGATGACTAAGAAAACTACCGACCTTATCTGCAGTAGCCAAAGGCTTAGTCAGGAGGTGTTGTAATGAGCCAGCTGTTGGAATAGCAAAGTATTCATCCACACCTCAAGTATTTCTACCAAAGGATTTTACATTGATACTTTCCCTTTTATCATCCTGCATCTAATTCAGTCAAAAGCATGCGGTGAACGACGCTTATTGTCTGATGATGGAATTGACCGACTCTCAGGACAACCAATGAATACTTTCAAGACAGAGAGGTTTCCATCTTCTGTCCTTCTATTGGATAACAGGTCTATTCCAGCAGGTGAGAGTGAATCTGATTTTTTTTCTCTTTAGAAATAAAGCAAATCCTTTTACTGTGCAATCCACATGGACATGCTAGCAGCACTCGTAGTTATCATTTTCAGCAGGTAATTAAATATAGGCTTTGTTCAAATGAAATCTTGGTTAAAACTAAAAAAAAAAAAAATCTGTTCCCTCAGCACCAAATGGTGAGATATAAAACAGAACAATAATGCAAAATGTGTCACATTGCAAATGAGGAACCCAGTGTTTTGGAGATCCCAGCTTAGTGACACTTGCAAACTTTTTACTTAATATTTACACAGAATGTTTAATACGTATTCCCTCTTGTAGCTTCTATCCATGTAGTTCTATTTTGTATTGAGGATTAAAGCATCATGCTCACTGTTCCTCTTGATCTCTTTCCACTTGTGTATTCTTTTTCTATTTTTATAATGTTTTTTTGTTTTTTTAAGGCACAGAATACCTTATAAATACCTCTGCTGGTTTCTTTTCTCCTTATTTCTTGGTTTAGTACATCAGCCAAGCCAAGAGTTAGAGTTAGGTAATCAATAAGCATGTAGCTGGGAAAAAAAAGGCAAATTTTCCTTCACAAAGCTGGATGTGGTTTTACACAAAGTACAAACGTCCCAGACGATCAGGGGGCGCATAGAGCAGCGAGCAGCCTTCAATCGATTAGTGCTGTCTCGTGTCTGTGTGTGTGTGTGTCATACTATTAATGTTGAGGAGCAGCAGCAGAAGCAATATGATATCCTGGTGTTATTTGTCAATTTGCCGGGGAGCGGACCAAGGTAACAGGAGATAGGATCATGTCTGGAGAACACTCGTGGTGCATTTGGAGCAGCTGCTGAGAGGTTCAGAGCTCCGATTACACTCCAATCAGAGAACAGTGCAGAGTTAAAACGTGTCAATTTCCTGCCCTGACATGGACTCAATATGTGAGAAATTGAGAAATGATTGCTGAAGCATAGTCCAAACCTCAACATTAGGAGGGCCAAACAACTGTTTGTACTGCGTCTACCCCAAGATCCCTCACATTTGAACACTAACACGTTTGCAATGAAAGAAAAATAAAAACATAAGTGCTTTTTTTTTGGCATAAAATTTACCCCTTTTGCTTATTTGTACCCATATTTTACAGATGCAGAACTTATTGCCACAAGGGTCATAAAACAGGTAAAAACTCTGGATTTTTTTATTATTATGTTACAGAAAGGCCCCAGATGGAAGTCCAACATAGGACGTTATTGAAGCAATGCAGCATCAATGCTACTAACCCTGTACTCTGAGAAAGTAAATAAAAAGTGGAGGACAAAGCTAGAGTAAAACAATGAAAACAGAAGATGAGCTTCATAAGCAAGACTAGCAGACAGGAAGTTGGGAGCGGGGAGGTTTGCGTGCCTGTAAGGGTGGGAACTTCAGAGAGTGTGCACTAAAGATAAATGAGGAGGAAGAAGAGGAAATAGGGTGGGAATTACACACAGTGAAAGCAAGATATGTGAAAATAGTTAGCCACAAACATCTGCAGCAACGCTCATCATTTCAACACATTGAACACATGCATGTTTTATCTAGATAGTAAAGCAATATCAGTGCCAACAGTGGCTTTCTTTAGCCAATACGGTAGTCCTGTTTATTCAAAGTGACTCAACTAGTGTTTTTCTTGAAGTGTTTATACAGTTTTTTTTAACCTTCATCCTTTATTTTATAAAAAAAGAAATAAAGAATATATCAATTGTTGTTAGAACGTTCATTGTTGTTGCCTTCTGTCCTGGGGAGCTTAGGCAAACAGTACGGCAGGCCTGGTCAGGAGGAGATCAGGCCGACAAGAGCGACTCATATCCCTTTGTATAACTTAGCTGCTGATGCAACATAGGTCTCCGTCTAATTAAGTGATTGCATCGGCTTCGACATCTTTTATTAAATCTGCTCTGTGTGCTTAATGCGGATGTAAAATGCACAGCATGCATCAAAATGAATCTGTGGTGCTCCTATTGACTAAAGAAGAGTTTGAACTCGGCTTTCCATAAAATCCTCTTTATGGGTTCAAATGAAGATGAACAGGATTCATCAGCTTAAAGAGAAAAGAGGGATTCTGGAAGGGAGGGGAGTATCCGACAAAAACAAAAATAAAGAGCAAGCATAACACAAAAAGCTAGAGGAAATGTACCGAAGGATGAAAATCACAACTGAAACAGCCTGCTTTGACAGCAATCACTGACCCAAGTAAAAATGTGTTAATTTTATTTTCTCCAAAAAATAAATAATAAAGTTCTAGTTCTAGCTGGCAACACTTCCTAGAAACTCTCCAGAAACCGGACTGAGTTCCGTTCCTTTGCCTTCTTTATATGCAGCGTCAGTTCTCACTCTCTCCTTTTTAATGATATGCCGACTGCAGAGATGTCTGCTGAAGAAAAGGTAATAAAAGAGGGATCTGCTTCGCTGATGATGTGATAATACGAGGGTTTGGAAAGAATATAAAAGCAGCTGATTAGATAAATAAAGCCGTAGCGCTTGGTATTTCTGAGACTCCAGCTTCGGCAACAAGTAATTATTCAAAAGGTGACAGAGACGGGTAAAAAATTAATGTGAGAGGAGAAGAGGAGCACAAAAAACAACAATAGTAACACCTATTTAACACCTTTAAACCCCATTTCCTTTATTTTTTAAAGACACCAATTTACACATACTTACTAAAAATGGAGTCCAAGCAAGAGCTGAGAAATTAGCATGAGAACAATGTGTAGTGAAACAGCCTTTTAGTAAGTACCACTGCACCGAGCATCCCTGTCAACATTCTTTGATTTGCTCTCACTACAGGTTACTTAGGCCAGACACACACGGGTTAAAATTAGGCCGATAGCATTGATTTAAAAGGAAAGGGGAGAAAACGCTGAGAGAGGAGACGGAGAACCAGTAGATTGAGAAGAAAATGGCGATTACAACAGGATGTCCATACTTATGCCTTTCTAATCCATTCAGCCGCCCCTTCCTCACTCCATTTCTTCCCGTCTTCATTTCTAATAATATACACATACTCCCAGCTTCAGATAGGAGCTCAAGAACTGATGATCCTGCCAGTAAATAATCCATGCAAAGAATGGCAGAGCAAAGGAAGAAGACAGAGAGGAATGTTTGAGGAAAGAGAGAAAGCCAAGAGGTAGACTCAATCGGTGAACGTTCTAGATCGTTTTTTTACCAACAATGTCCACAGACATTGCTATGGCAACTTTACAACATGATTTATGGCCAGACTATTTAATTTCCTCTAAGTATCCACATGGCTCAAATTGAGAAAAAAAAACATTTTTTGCACAATTTTTTTTTTTTTTTTCAGTAACTGATAACTGAACATTTAAATTGTTTCTTTTTTTTAGGTTTCATGGAGCAAGTAGTCCTTATTTATCAGTAGCTGGACTGGAAGTAAGGCAAACAGGCAACTGAAGTCCCAGGGCACGGAATCAAAAGCACAACATTCAACCTCACACAAACTTTGTTGAGACTTTGACCTGAAAAGGTCGAGTCACATACACTATATTGCCAAAAGTATTTGCTCACCTGCCTTGACTCACATATGAGCTTAAGTGACATCCCGTTCCTAATCCATAGGGTTCAATATGACGTCGGTCCACCCTTTGCAGCTAGAACAGCTTCAACTCTTCTGGGAAGGCTGTCCACAAGGTTTAGGAGTGTGTTTATGGGAATTTTTGACCATTCTTCCAGAAGCGCATTTGTGAGGTCGCACACTGATGTTGGACGAGAAGGCCTGGCTCTCAGTCTCCGCTCTAATTCATCCCAAAGGTGTTCTATCGGGTTGAGGTCAGGACTCTGTGCAGGCCAGTCAAGTTCATCCACACCAGACTCTGTCATCCATGTCTTTATGGACCTTGCTTTGTGCACTGGTGCACAGTCATGTTGGAAGAGGAAGGGGCCAGCTCCAAACTGTTCCCACAAAGTTGGGAGCATGGAATTGTCCAAAATGTCTTGGTATGCTGAAGCATTCAGAGTTCCTTTCACTGGAACTAAGGGGCCAAGCCCAGCTCCTGAAAAACAACCC